ACAGTTACTGACTAATTAACTGGCTATAAACTGGGTCCTCTTCCTCCGTTTCATTCCTCTCCTGTCGCTGCCTAAACCCACAGAGTCTTCATGCCCAGAGTCAGAGTCCTGGTCAGAGCTGCTGGGAATCAGCCGGCCTCCGTTGGTCCGCTCTGCCCACAGATAGTATTCCCCCACTGTGTCCCTCTGCTCCAATGTTAGCAGTGTTTAAACTCCCAGTCCAGGTACAGACATATTAGCATATGCAACATCTATTTCTGTTACAAGAGAAAATGTCCGTGTTGCAACAGGTGACAAGGTGCAGTTGTTTTTGTGTTTCTGCGACTACCCAACTAATAAAGTGTGTCGACTGTTACGGGGCCGCACTATTAATCAGTTAATTCACTACAAGATGGTCAGCAATTAATCTGTAGTCACAATCCTGTAAACTCAGTCAGGTGCGAATAAAGGAGGCTGCTATCTGCTAACTGAACTGATCATGAGATGAGTCAACATTTGGAGCCTTTACCACTTCAACAGTTTCTCAGGGGAACGTTTGTGATATTAATTTAATTATTTAAATATATAGATTTTAACAGACTCGGTGACAAGGCGCATTGAAAATACGTTGACTAGCAGTTTACTCGACTATTAGGGGAGCAGCACTAGTTACTATTTATGTCACAGTTTATGGGATTGTACTATGATACTCATCATAGTTTATGTAGCCAGGTGTCCTCTCTCTTACTTTATTATTGAGAAGAACTTTATATTGTTTTTTTTATTTTGTGGATGCTGAAATAACTAAATTTTCACAATTTTCTGCGTTCTAATTTCTGGTTCGATTATGACTGAAGGGGCTGAACTAGAGAAATATTCTGTGTCCTGAGGGAGGCACAGAGACTTTAAGGGGTGGCAGAAATATAATAACAATACAATGATGATTTAACAATCACATATATCAATATTTGCTTGGAAAATCCCCTGAATGAAGATATTTGAACTAAAAAATTGTGCCGCTGTGTTTCTACAGTAGCCAAGATAGGCAGATAAGTCCTTTAGTTATGTCGTGAGTTTCTCCGACACACTTCACAGCCCGTTCTCACTCCCAGGTCGTCAAATACAGATGCGAGCGGTGTTCAGTTAGTGGCAGTCTGCTACTTCACCACTAGATGCCACTAAATCCCACACACTGGACATTTAAAACTTAGAAAAAGTCGTTTTTTATGGTGCTTACAAAGATGTGAAGAGTTCCTCTACAACCGTGTGCCATTACAATCTTCTGGTGTTTCAGAGATCACCAGGTATTTATCTTATCTGTGTATATGATAGGCACAAACTGGCGCCGCTGCAGACTTCACTGAGTGTAGGCTGGCAGAGAGCAAAATGGAGGTCTTCTCTATCTTTAATCAGTATTGATTTACATGATACCCTCCTCTCTTCGCCCTCCAGCACAATCTCGCTGCACAAATCTGTGTCAGAGCAAGAAAAAGACTCGAGTCCCTTGAACATTTCGGGAGATAGGATTGGAAAAAAGCACCAGCTATCTTAAAATTAAACTGTGGTTCGATATGAGGCCTGTCACATTCTGCATGCTGTCTCACTTTGGAAATCGCTGAGAGGATTAAATCTGAATAGAGCGTTTTGAAACCGAGACTATACGGTCGCCCTTGAACATCTCAAACTTATCTCTTTGTGCCGAATGACTGTGTAAGTCATGTCACCTCAATGACATGCCAGAGCCCTCTCCAGCTCCCCAGGAGGGTTTGAGGAGGGTGGGTGGTGGTGGTGGTGGGTAGCAGATCAAGCGTGTTGGAATCACAAGTGACTGGGGAGCAAAAGAGAAGGAGAAGAGACGGCGTGGAGGATGTGTCAGAGAGCCGAGGAGCGGCAGCCAAGCAGCAGTTTTCCCATGTCAGCCTGATCAAACTTGTTGACATCTGGAAGGAGATGGAGGAGAGACAGAGAAAGGGAGGAAGAGATGAAGGGCAGAGGGAGGAAGCTGCCGAGCAGAGGCTGCCGACATCACAGGACTGATTGATGTGGTTGCCACCAGGTGAGGGCGAGCCGACTATAATATTGACTCAGGGATGTCTTTCTCTCCCGAGAGCCGCTTTCGCTCTCTGACATTCAGAGACGTTCTCGCTGTTTCATCCTTGATGTCGCTTCCTTTGACTTCTTTTATGAGTCAAAACAACATTTTTGAGAAATTTGTGTTTCACACGCTGAGACTGCAGAAAGCAGCTCTCGACACCTGAGA